TATATTTAAATACAAAGACACCTGTAATTGCTCCTATCATACCAATTTATCAACCAAATTGCACAGTGCCACGGTTATTATTAATGAAATAAATTATAGAATCACATCTGATAAACGAGGTAAATTATTTTATATAATTTAAATATGAACCGATTATCTCCTTTTGAAACATTTTCGTGTGTGTTTTACTGATAATTCTTTTAAATATTGTCTACATAAATTACAGTTTAGTCTCGTTGTCTATTTTTGGAGGCAAATGTAATCCTATTGAAACGAATTTGTTGTTTTGAAAAATGATGTCTTTTTGTATTGCAAATTGATAACATTTAACCTGAAATAGAAATAATTGTCATATTCACTTGACAATATTGAGCTATTGATCACTGTACATGATATTCTATAATATGGCGGCCATGATATATAGATAAAACATAATGTGGTGTACACAATAAATTGGAAGATAAACAAACAAGATCAACAGTTTGCTTCCATAAATGAGGTTTGGAGCCTGGAAGCAGACACAGATACGTTGAAAAATAGTATACACATATTTACCTAATAATGCATTGCCTGATATTGGTGTGCCCTTTGACAATGTACCACGGCCATATAGAACTGCATATACCGTGAATGTTTGTGCAAGGAATATACCATTTTTCTGCGGGTGAGATTACGGATATGTTTTTTTTTTATATGGACGGTGTCTTCATTCATGAGTGTTAAAACTATGACCAGAAGTTTAACAGATTACGATATACAATTGCAATTATATATTTCGAATTTATGACACTATTGTATAAAAGGGCATCCACAATTGTTCCAACATTTACACCATTCATTGATTATTCTTTTATTTTACTTTGGCCCTTACAAAAGTTTCCTATAGGATTTTTAAAACCTTATAGGATTTTAAAAAATTCTATAGGACTTTTCATGAAATCCTATAGGACATGTATAGTCCTATATGATTTTATGTAAATTCATATAGGAATAACAAGTCCTATAGGACTTTACACTGCCAGTCTTATAGGACTGGTGTGTGAGATCATAAGTCCTATAGGACTATACAATTCATATAGGACTTTACACTGCCAGTCCCATAGGACAGGCATGTGAGATCATAAGTCATATAGGACTATACAATTCCTATATGACTTTACACTGCCGGTCCTATAGAACTGGTGTGTGAGATCATAAGTCCTATAGGACTATACAATTCATATAGGACTTTACACTGCCAGTCCCATAGGACAGGCATGTGAGATCATAAGTCTTATAGGTCTATACATTTCCTATAGGACTTTACACTGCCAGTCCTATAGGACTGGATATTTCTACATGTAGAGTAAGTTACCTAGATTCATATCACTCCCCTACAAAAATATTACATACTATCATAAGATGTCAACATTTTTTCAAATACTTTAGTCAATCTCATTACAATCAGTTGTATTGTACGGCATGTTTTTTTATCGTATTCATGTTTGTTTTCATCCATCTTTCATCTTCGAAAAACTCCCAGTAAATGAATAATATATTAAGATAACATTTTACTTTAATCATTTGTAAAAAAATGAAAAAAATATCCATGTTTAGTTTAATTTTCCTTTCAACTTTCCAAATGTCTATTTTTTTTATCACACAACAACAGAAAGTCTCTAGTTTTTACTGAATTGTTAAAACTTCATAAAAAGATTTGAGTAATTTTAGAACAAATAACCATGATTTTAATATTCTTGGGATCAGCTTTATTTTAATTCATAATTGGCAGATTAGAAGAAAAACATAACTAAAGCATTTTGAGAAATTTTATAACTATTAAATTATTGGGAGATAAGTTACTGAACACAAAGTCTGAACTTCCTGTGACCACAGATGGTGCACTTCCATCAGCCTCCTTCTGAGTGTTTTACCCATCATGCACTACAAGGGACTGTGGACCATGCTGTCACAATGACCTTGTAAAATGGAGAAACTGATGTCATTTTACCTAATTTTTGGACCAAGAAGACCATAAACTTGTAGAGAACATGTGAGTAACATACTTATGGTATATCTCAGTGTTTTTAATGTGTTTTTTTAGCTTCAGAAAACACAAACACAAAAAGGTACTGTGACTGTGTACTTAAGGATTAGTAACACTGAATTAATTAACAAGCTGACTGTTGACCTCAAAAGTATACCATTTATCCTTTAAATTTAAAGACAGTTGTTATATTGATGGGGATGTACATAACCATTTGCGATTACAAATATATCAATGTTGCTGATCATTTTTCATAACTTAACTTTTGTTGTTTCAAAAAAAAATATTTGTGTGTGCATGTGGTGGTGGTGGTGGTGGTGGTGATGGGGGGGGGGGGTATTTGCATATATAATTATGTAAATAGTCACCCAGTGCATGGCTTTTTCAGGAGGGAAATTCACTCATAACAGCAGTGAATTTCAATATTATATCCTAATATTTACCTTGTTGAACCAATTTTGATTTCTCTAACAACTTTTAATTTTGGGAAATTATAATTAAATGCTAATTTAATTCAAGTAATTTTACATTTAGAAAGTACCACTTTTTTCATATTATTAGTAATTTTTTTTTATTCAATTTGTGAAAGCCAAATTTAGAGAAATACATTTAATAAAATCAATGAAATTCATGTAGTATTTAAAAACATTACACACATATGTACCTTCACATTTCTTATAAAAAATACAGAATTTTTTTCTATGGCAAAAAAGTAAATTTTAATACACAGCCAATGCAATGTTGGGTTTATATGCACTTATATT